CAACAAGAAAATCGCAACGCGAATTTGACTTTGGCGTTGCGAATTTGTACATTCAACAGTCTTTTTTGCCTTCAACATAATGCAGATTGAATTTAAACAAATCAAATTTTACAAATCAATTCAACAAGTAAAAATAATTCTTATTTACAAATCAATTAAACAAATCAACTTTTACAAATCAACAAGCAAAAAATAATTCTTATTTCCTCAACAAATCAACTTTTACAAAGAGAACAAATCAATGCAAAATTCAATTAAACAAGGAAAAAAAGTGTACCACAGACAGTTATTTATGCACAAATACATCAATTTCATGCAGCTCACGTACGAAATAACATGCAGAAACCAAACATTTGCTAAAACAACACTTTCTACACATCTAAAACCAACAAACAACAAATTATTGAATTCTAGGTACTTAACAAAACATTTTCAAACCAACAAAGAGTATATATGTTAACAACACTTGCTCAAACTTATCAATTGTTTATGCAAACTTTTAGCACGCGGGTGCAAGTAGGCAACGTCTCGCATATATCGCTCGAGTCATAAAATGCCGAAACTATAAGCCTACTGCACCTCTATCTCTATCTGTGGGAGGTAGAATGTGTTTACTTCCTGTCGTCAAACACTCCAAGCACATGCATACAAGAGGACCACAATCCCCTATGGCTCCCTCCGTTTGTTGTGACGCGGTATCGTCTCTGATCATTGTAACTTTGAACTTTTTTGGCTTTTTGTTTCCAGAATTAGTCCAATAATCAATCGCGTCCAAGTATTTCTCCAAATGAGCGCTCCATCCCTTACAAATAATATCTCTCAAATCAGACAATGGTATGTAATTCAACATGCTGTCATATACTATTATCTTCAGGGATGGGAGCTTAAGCTCGACGAGAAGCCAATGACGACGTTCCAAAATAGGGATAAACACCTGCAATCATAAATAATTGCGCACATCAAATAAAATTTATGAAAACTTTTAAAATATTCAAAAAATAAATACTAACCTTATCGACCTCCCACCACGCAGGATAAAGTTTAGCTTTTCCATTACCCAACGTATATGAAACATCTCTCGGATCCTTCAAGTGAGCTACATGAAATGACGTCGACATAATAGTCCATCGAGTATTTCTTATTTTCCTCAATTTCCTTATTATTAGAAGACGTGACACATATGCATCAATATGATGTTTTATAAAAAAATACATATATTAGTGAATTTATTAATAATTTTTAAAAAAATTAATCAAAATGCAATATAAGAAGAATATACAGCCATTATCTTCAACCTCTAATAAAATACCTCACCAAGACCGATTAAGAAACAAATGTATAACATCGTCGAGTTTGTATTGGTCAGAATAACACCTCTTGCTCCGCTCATGTAGATAAAAATCAACTGTGGTCTTAGCCCAAAGGGTATTATCCGTAATTGTGTCCGGTAGTGTTCACCTCTCCTACTGAGGAATGGTACTGGCCGGTAACACATACGAAAGCCAACTCGCATCCATCATATCGGGCAGGAGAGGGGGTTTATCAATATGTAGACATATGATGCCATGTGAATCGGGCTCTTGAACGGCGGGTGAGACCTCTTGAACGATGACAGGGGCCTCTTGAACGGTGGGAGGGGCCTCTTCGATGATGAGAGAGGCTTCTTGAACGATAGGAGGCACCTCTTGAACGATGATAGGTGCATCAGGCTTCTTCTTACGGAGTCTTGGCATTAGTGGGGTGAACGGAGACGTAATGGCACGTGCACGACGTTTGATGCGTGAACCCCGTCGTGTAAGAAAAACCCGACGTAAAGCATATACCTTATCGGGCCGCTGAAAATAAATTAATACATAAATCAGTAAATAAATAAATAAATAATGCCGAAAAAAAGTTATTTGCATTTTTAGTATAGTATTAAACAAATTTACCTCATTGCGTAGAGTATGAACCTCATTCTGCAACGATGAAATAATCTCGCGTAGAGCGACAACCTCGTCACATAAAGTAGATACTTCACCAAGTAAAGACTGAACCTCATCACGCCATGTACCATTGTCTTTACGTAAAGTACCGACCTCATGACGCAAAGCACCGACCTCATCACGTAACTCCCCTAACTCATCCCGTGGAGGTGGAGAACAAGGAGATAAATGTCGTGGCCTCTTTGCCGGTCGCCTATCATGAGGTGATGGTAGAGAAGAGGCTCGATGATGTGATGGAATAGGTGATGGTAGAGGTGGAGAAGAGGCTCGATCAGGTGATGGCTTCAGGTGTCGAGCTGTAGAATCGGCCCAATCAGGTGATGACTCTCGAAGTGGGGGGTGCTCATCATCCGTCCCATAAAAAAATCGCTTACTAGCTTGCCACCAATCAGTGGCAAGCTCAGCCTCTGTGGGTGTCATCCTTTGTAATGGATAGTTGGCCTCCTAACAATATAAAAGCTCAAATAAAATTAAACGTGTACTAGTAATAACTTGTTTATATATGGTATTATTTGTGTGTTAGCTTACATCATTCATCGTCGTATATAGGAGTAACTCTTCCCAATCCAACATGCGGATCCTCTTCCAGGTAATAGCCCTAGGAATATCATTTGATTTTTTTATCGCATATGTCCGCATGTTGGGGAAAGCCTCAAATATCCAAATCTACAAACAATATAATACACAAACATTAGTAATTGTTAAATAATTAATTATGATTTTGGAAACATTATATAGAAATTATTACCTTAAAAGCCCAAGTAAAGCCTGTCAAAATGTATTTAGAACCATCGCCTCGTAATCTTTTTCGGTCCTCAAAGGCAGATGACAACTTCTTCCAGGTAGTTTTCCATAGATATGAACCCCACAGAAACATGTTCCATGCATTTAGGTCCTCTACTAATAATATTAGGTCCTCAGAGATAGGTTGTCTGCCCTCTTTGCCTAAAAAGCTGGCATGCAAAAGTAATAAATGGCATACTCGGACAAAATCAAGGTCATCAATCCGAGTAAAACCATCTTTAACAAATAATCTCTTCAAGTCGTCGACGTGTAAACTCGGCTTCGACTTTGCCAGCTCAGGAAAAACCCGAGATAACCATGATGGGCGGGAGATATGACTAGTGTACCGGGTTACATCATCGTGTCCGAAGCGTAGACCAGTGATTAAGCAAAACTCCTCCTGCCCAAAATAAATATACGCCGGAGGAAAATGAAACCATATCTCTTCATCACCACGTTGTATCCTCTTGGGTAGATCGTTAGTCATGGTCTGAAGAAACAAATGTGTCAACATAGCATCTCCACCTGGATATTGTACTTTCAGCCATGGCCCGAAGCAAGTATCCTCAAACAATTTTCTTTGTAGAGGATTAAGAGTTGATGCAATTTTAGTGGCTATGCTTAATTTATTCCTTAAGGTCAATGCAGTCGAAAAAAATTTCTACAAAAATAATAAACATACAAAGTTAGATATACCAAAAACTACAAATTATACACTATAAACAGACATGATATTAAACAGTGAAAATAAAGCCAAATATGTTTCAAACTAGCACGGTATTCACCCAAGTTATTATTCCATCATAGTTCACAAAACATCATATCCAGAAGTAAGCACTTATATAAACATTTAAAAGGACAACATATATGTTTAATGCAGGTTCAAGGACAACATAAAGAGTAGTAGTTTATTCTTAGTTTATTCTTGAAACTTAAATTCGCAACACTGTGAAGTTTATTCACCAAAGTCATTATTCCATCATAGTTCACAAAACATCATATCCAGAAGTAAGCACTTATATAAACATTTAAAAAGACAACATATATGTTTAATGCATGTTCAAGGACAACATAAAGAGTAGTAGTTTATTCTTAGTTTATTCTTGAAACTTAAATTCGCAACACTGTGAAGTTAGTATTTGTCTTTGTTTTTTGGTTGAAGTAATGCAATTCATTCAAGATTCAATTTGCAGAATAAGAGTAGTTTCTGAAACTTAAATTCGCAACGTGAAAATGAAAATCGCAACGCAAACATGAAAATCGCAACGTGAAAATTAAAATCGCAACGCGAAAATTAAAATCACAACGTAAATATCGCAACGCGAACATGAAAATCTCAACGCAAATATCGCAACACGAACATGAAAATCGTAACGTGAACATGAAAATCGCAACGCGAAACTAAAATCGCGTTGCGATTTTCATTTTCGTGTTGTGAATTTAAGTTTCAAAAACTATTCTTCTGCAAATTGAAACTTAAATGAATTGCATCTCTTCAACAAAAAGACAAAACAAAGACAAATACTAACTTCACATGGCAGTATTGGCAGCAACTGAATGAATTTACTAAGCAATCTAAGTGAAATGGTTATAGATTATATATTGAAATTACCAGTAAATTTATCATCAATATCAGAAAAATCTAATAATAATATAACAATTTCAAAATAAAAATAAGAGATTAAACTAACCCTCGGTGGTTGATTTTCCATTTATGACCATGAATGGTTGTGAGGGTTGCTCTGAGAGATGGAGATAGACGGATTTCGCCGGAGATGGGGATGGATTTCGTTCGGAGATGGGGACGGATGTCGCCGTAGAGAGTGAGAGATGGAGATGAGACTGAGTTGTGATTTAGGGTTTTATGTTATGATTTGCGATAATACTGTTTACATTTGTGTTTCTCAATTAATATTGTGTTTCGAATTTGAAAATAAAATTCGCGTTGCGAAAATAAATGTGCTTTGCGAATTTGACTTCTGTGTTGCAAATTTGACTTTTGTGTTGCAAATTTGACTTCTGTGTTGCGATTTATAAATTCGCGTTGCGAATTTGGAAACTGGGTTGCGAAATAGGAGTTCGCGTTGCGAATTTATTGGTCATTTTCGCAAATCCAAAAAAAATTTGGTTAAAATCGTATATTATAAGGCATTTTCGGTCACTGAAGTTATTTTCTCTTTCTTAATTTGGGCCTGTGAAATTACTTTCCTTTTGCTAGTAGGCTAGAAATTTCATTATATTCTGGGAGTTTATATAATTTCCCTTTTCTCATTTGGTTCAAAATGAAATATCCTTTCAGGTGTCCTACAAGTGGTTAAGTCGTAACTTTCTGGTCTCATCTAATGTCGCAAAGAGGTAATTTCCCCCACAAAGAATGCAGTTATAATGATTATGTTTGCTGACTAATAAATAGTTATGCTCATACTTAGGTTGCTTGCAGAGTTTGTTGAGAAACATGGAAGTGGGTTAGAAGTTGTATATAGTTTGTCTGGCTGGTTGAAGAACTCTCCATCAAACTATCATATTCAGCTTGTGACAGGGCCTAAACTTCCAGGTTAGACTTTCATGACAATTCCATCTTGTTCCACTTATTATAGTATGTATGCAGTTAAGGGTGCTTATGGGTTTATATCTTTAATTTGCTTGTACAAGCTACATGACCGTTCTTGGAGTAGATGACCTATGAGTATAATAAGGAAATCATAGGCATAGTAGATAGCATTTCATTCAATTATGGATCTCCATAATAATTTTTATGCAGTTTGGCTATAAAAATTAGATAAAAGTGATTAATGACAATTCTTTCTTCCTTTATTTATTGCAGAAGCCAAGCAAGAATATGATTGCAATTGCACAGTTCATGTGTATAGTGTGCAAGCTTGCATCCCAAAGGACCCAGCTGCTCAAAAGTGTATAAGTTGAACATGTGAGAGAATATACTTTCATTAAGACAGTGGCTAGAATTTGAATTTCTCAAAGTGTTATTGCTATTATTTATTTTAGTTAATGAGGTTGAAGTCCATTATATTTCACTTGAATGTTTGTAAATTTTGATTTATTAATGTTAACTGTTTTTTCTTAATTCGAGTCGTAATTAAATTTTAAAGTTGTTATTATTAGATATTACTACATGATATTAAATTTGAGTAATAAATAACAAAAAATAATATTTACAAATCAGGTTGATTTTGCGGCGTTTTAAGACTAAAAAACCACTATTGGACCACGCAACTGTTGTGTTTTCAATTAAAAATGTCAGTTAAAAATGCCACTAAATTACCTACCTTTTGTGACATTTTTAGTGTTTGTTCTTAAAACGCCTCTAAATGATCTAACATTTTATGGCATTTATATAAAAAAAACATCACTAAATATCATAGTATCTAACGTCATTTTCTTTAAAACGTCTATAAAGCGGTATTTTTTATTTACAAATGATGTTACTGTTTGCGACTAGCGTTTTACTGGTATTTTTTCGGGCTTTTTTATTTTTTGCCAAAAAGCTTTTTTTTATACTTATAAACGTTGCTATAGGACTAAAAAATGCCACTATTGAACATTTTTACTGTACACCTTTCATTAGGTTTTATAAGTTAATAACTTATTTATATCGATTTCATTGCGTTTCTATCTTATTTATATCGATTTCATTGCGTTTCTATTTTTGTATTGAATTTACATTTTTTTTTAAATATTTATATTCACATTAATTTATATTCTCATAATTTTCTAAAATTTTAGGTGTTAACAATTTATTCTATACAATATAACTCGTTCATCTGAGTACAATGTTCATATCTTTCTTTATGATGTACCATAATTTATATAGTTCAACGTAATAATTTTAAAATAACGTTTTATATTGTGTTTTTATTCGTTTTAATTTTGTATGTTCTTATTGCACTGTTAAATGTTAACTCATATTATTTATATTCTTAGTTTTTATTGAAAAACCACTTATAAAAAATATTTATCATATTAAAAAGAAAAAGAAAAACCATTCAGCACTAATCTTGAGCACCCAAAATATTAAGCTAAAAACAAAGAAGGCCAACAATGGAGTCAGTGACTCCATTTTCCAGTTAAGGAAGCTAACCACCTAATCCCCAAAACCCTACTATAAACCCTACCTATTTCATTGCCAGCGAACCGTTTCCCTGTTACGCAAAACCACGTCACCCTCTCCGAAAGCCATTGCGATTCTATCAGTCGGGACCAACTGCAGATACTACGCCACGGCGTACCCTCTCTCTGCGGAGTAACGTACCACCTGATTGTACTTCTCCGACCAGTAAGCAGCCGTGGGGACTACTACATGAGCCACCAGAGGGAAAAGCGGGAGACGGTTAAGCGACCGCGGCGTACCGTTCCGCTACCGGTTCGTACTTGTCGTACATTTCCTTAGCCGTCGGTTCACACTTCGTGTAACGTCCCTCGTGATCATCTTAGCCGCGTGTAGAACATCGACTCGTTGGACCTCCGAAGCCACGGTTCGAGCTTGGCATGAAGCCTGCTTTACCAGAGACGGCACGTGACGTTTCAACTCGTTCAAGGACTGGTCCACCTGCAGACTGCTACGTGTTTAAAAAATAACGGTTCCGTAACAAAAATGGCGTTTCGAGGCGTTGATTTGAATGCTTACCTTGCGATCGACGAACTCGAGGAGCTTGAACGGTACATAGTGGAATTTGTCGAAAACGGGGCCGGCGACGGTCTTGACGGTTTCTTCGACAGTTTGTACGCCCGGTTTAAGTGGACCGGAGTTCTGTTTGGCGTACTCGTAGACGCTTGATACAAAAACAACTTCATAAATCGACGCTACTTGAACGAAATCCAGATACAAATATTAAATATGATTTTAAAAACAATAAAAATTTAGATACTAAAACAGACTAAAAATGATAACTTAGGTACTAAATGCATGATTTACCCTTAAAAAATTTGAAGAGGGTAGCAAATTGGTAAATAAAAGGTGTAAACTGGGATGAAAAAGGAACAGAATCATCCGCCTATAAAAGTAGCAGCGAAGCAATCAATTTCAATTTTGTTGAAGGTTTCCAAGATTTTGAAATTGAAGCTTGCGGGTTGGGTTGGCAACCGAGGAGCACATCCAAAGATCCACTGCGAAACAATGGTTAACGTTATTTCCTTTCGTTTTTCTTTCTCCATTTTAGCATCGTTCGAATTGATAATCTTCCTCGATATCACTTTACTCGGATCCTTTTTGATTGCTCAGAAAGCTATGATCCAAAATCATATCGTTTTTTCATAAAGAAATTGAAATAAAAAGCAACTTGTTTTAGATCCGTTCTCTTAAACTCGTGGATCTTATCATTTTGTTATTGATTTTGTAATTTTTTTGGATTAGAATTGCTTGTGCTTGAAATGCTGGCGTTCGGGTTTTGATTTATGGGCTGTATTATCAGTCGTAGTGTATTCTGCAACGAAACCTTAATTAGTGGCATGCGATTCATTGTTCTCCTTGAGATTTTAAATAATTCCTATGAATTTTCCGCTGAAGTTCCTAAAGAAAATTTATTTGTGTGAAGTTCTTTAGAGGAGTACAGTTTCAGAGTAGTAATTTGAGGATCTGATCAACTATAGCCTTGGCGTTAAAACGATCTGAAGTAGGGGATTGACTGTTATGCTTTCTGCAGGATGGGCATAATTCGGACGAGTCAAAGCAAAACACCGCTGATATGACAGTTTTTGTGAGTTCCTAACCTTTCTTTACAACATGAAAGAACTGCTTAAAATGTATGCTAATTTGCTAGCACGGCATAACCACTGCCTAATTTGATTAATGTTGAACTGTTTAGATTGCCTAGTTAGGTAATGCTATCTAATGGGTGTAAATCAACAACCTTTTCCTTTGGTTTCTTTATTGCCTTTCTCGTACGTCTTTGGTTAACAAGTTCTTTGGTTTCAGGTGCAAAACCTTCTTCAACAAATGGTGAGTTATTATTGGACCCTCTTTTGTTGGATTTTATTTTTGTATTGACGAAGAGTTCGTTTGCAGCAATCGAGGTTTCAAATGATGTCTGATTCCATTATCACCAAGAATATCCTTTCAAATGTTCTTTCATACGATAGCAACTTTTGTCTCAACTGTTGCTTACCCAAAAAAAAATTCTCTTTTTCTTGTTGAGCTATTAACTTAAATAACCAGGTTGAATGGTGTCAAATAGTCTTAAGTTTAGTTATACATTCACCAACTTATGAGGAAATCCTGGACTATAAGACCAAGATTCTTTCTGAGTTAGTGATTGTGAACCTGTATCTAATAATTGCTATGTTGGCCAGATTTGAGCAAGGTTGAAACTTGTCATGTTTCCATTGTTTAGCATTTCTCTAAATGGAAAGAGTTGCTATTTATCACTGTTGAGTGTGGGACAACTATTGCTGACTTAACTCCTAAGCACTCGATGATATGGGAAACCGTATAAATGAGTTGGAGCAAAGCATCAATGACCTAAAAGCAGAGATGGGAGTGGAGGGCTCCTTAACCCCGTTAGACCCGGCAAAGCAAAAGTCGGATGAAGCGAAACAAGATGAAGGCTCGGCATGAAACTTGGCCAAAGACTATAACTTGCAGTTGATTGTGATGGTAAGTCGGCAACATTTGGTTTTGTTTGAGACAACTTTTGTCAAGAGAGGGACAATACTAGGAGTTCCCATCTCCCTTTTTTACTTGTATTAAGTATTTTTATTCTATGAACTTTGAGCACAAATTATCTGCCTTAAACACCAGTAGATGAAAATATGGTGTGGTGGTTAACATTCATGCTTTACCTCCGTGCAATGCCAAAATTCTATTTAGGTTTATTATGAACTTTGATTCCCGTTATTATTATTATTAGTTTCCTTTTATATAGGGAAAGGAAGTTGAAAGTACGATGTCATCCCTTCGTGCATGTGTTCTCTAGTAAATTATATTTATATATAAATATTTGAATTAAATCTGAATTCGGATGACACGTAGTCGAAGGCAGGTTGATGGTAACAAGAGCTAGAGAGTCTTGGCTCTCTTAATGTTTAGGGAAATTTGAATTACACTTCTCAGAACTTTAAAATATTTTAATTAGGCCTCTTTAAATTCACAAAAAATTTTCGTGAAGTTTTGTTTTTCTAATGTTTAATTAACCCCCTTCAGAATTGCATTAAATCTTTCAAATTTTTTGAAATTTAATTAGATCCTGATATTATTTAAAAAAATACTCATCAAATCCGTCAAGATTTTTAAATTTTTATTAAATCTAAAAAAAATTAAAATTAAAATTTTAATTAGATTTCCCCTAACTACCACGTCATGATATGTTACCGTAGCATAATATTATAATGGGCATGAATAGGAGTAGAATTTTTTAGGGTAAACTACTCCAATGGTCACTAATGTTTGAGTAAGTTTTTGTTTTTATCACTGATGTTTCAAAGGTCACAAATCGGTCACTAACGTTATCGTTTGTTACAAATTGGTTACTCGCCGTTAACAGACGTAACGGAAAACATACGTGGACTATTAACTACCGTTAATAAGCTTACCTGGATGGTATAATTACACAAATAGTCCATGTTAATTTTTTTATATTATTTCAATTTGATCCTAGTTTTAATAAATTAAAATAAATTTACCTATGAATCAGGAGGTGCCATGTGTCATTGGTTACACACCTTTCATGACACATGTTATCATTTGATTGGAAGATTAGTTTTATTTTAATTTATTTTTAGTTTAATATATTTATTTCTACCAATCAGAGGGTGACACGTGTCACCCTCTAGTTGGAATAAAATAAAGCAAAAAAGAAACAAGTGGGGGATTCAAACATAGGACACTTGAGTGAAAATAATGCAAACCAAACCATTGAACAAAGGGAACCATTTGATATGTTTTGGACAACAAATGATATGTATCTTGTGTCGTAGTATGTAAATGATTTACTCAATATTAATAATATGTTATATATCTTAAATTTTAAAATTATCTCTTTATTTTTGTTTTAACTTATTAAATATTTTTATTTTTGTCTTAATTTATTAAATATATTTTGTTTTTTTATTTAATGTAAAAATATATATTTTATCTTTATCATCAGTTAAAAATATATATTTTTTAAATATCTTAACTTGAAATATATATAAATATTTTATTATTAATTTAATAAAAAATATATATTTTACTCTTATTTTAAATTAAAATATATATAATATTTTATTCTTATCTTTACTTAAAAATATATTTTATACTTATTTTAAATTAAAAATATATTTTATTATTATCTTAACTTTTAAAAATATATTAAAATATTATATATTTTTAAATAAAAATAAGAGTAAATATATATTTTTATATTAAATTAATAGTTAAATATTTTTATATATTTTAAGTTAAGATATATAAAAAATATATTTTTAAGTGATGATAAAGATAAAATATATATTTTTACATTAAGATAAAAAATATATTTAATAAATTAAAAAAATAAAAAATATTTAATAAGTTAAAACAAAAATAAAGAGATAACTTTAAAATTTAAGATATATAACATATTATTAATTTTGAGTAAAACATTTACATACTAAGATACAAGATATATATCATTTGTTGTCCAAAATATGTTAAATGATTTTCTTGGTTTAATGGTTTTGCTTACATTATTTTACTAAAGTGTCCTATGTTCGAATCTCCATACGCTTTATTTGTTACTTTATTTTATTCCAATTAGAGGGTGACACGTGTCACCTTCTGATTGGTATAAATAAATATATTAAATTAAAAATAAATTAAAATAAATTTAGTATTTTAATCAAATGATAACATGTGTCATGACAGGTGTGTAACCAATGACACATGTCACCTCCTGATTCGTAGGTAAATTTATTTAATTTACTAAAACTAGGATCAAATTTAAAGAACATGTAAATAACATGGACTATTTGTGTAATTATACCATTCAGGTAAGCCTGTTAACGACTGTTAACAGTCCACGTGTGTTTTCCGTCACGCCTGTTAATGGCGAGTGACCAATTTATAACAAACGATAATATTAGTGACCAATTTATAACTTTTGAAACATCAATGATGAAAATGGAAATTTACCCAAACATTAGTGACCATTGGAGTAGTTTACTCATTTTTTACTACTCTCTCTGTGTAGTCTGTCTATTGTTTATCTTATTTAGGTCAATTTTTTTTTTCAAATTTCGAATTACTATTATTTAAAGTTTATTATTAGTAAAAATATGAAAAAAATATATTTTAAAGTCAAGTAGTTTTTGAATATATATTTATAAAATTTAATTGTTTAAAATATTTAGAATAATCATAGTTAAAGTTTAAAATTTTTTACTTTTAAAAAAATTAATAATGGATATATTTAGTGGAACAAATGAAGTAATATTTAGTTCCGATCTAAGTCACTATATTTTAAAAATCGTTTGATGTAAAATTGTATGCAAAGGTTTTCAATTTATTTTTTTGTATTATTAACTTCTAAAGTGGGAGAGTTAAAAAAAAATAAAAGTAGCATGTAATATTGCTGAATCGCATAATCCCAAAGCTCTATTATTGACTGTTCGAAATTCGAACTTACATATAACTATCCATATAAATAAACATATGTGTTTCTTTCTAACATGTATAGTCTTCATCATTTCCAAACTAGAAAGCGACTTACCAGTAAGTCTTTATTCATTTGATTACTTTTAGTCTACTAATACGATTATATATGATAAAAGCTAGCTTTCATGGGATGCTGCGTTCGCCAATGCTTTGAAGCCGTTAGCCCAAATTTTGGAGTAGAATTCGAGAAATTAACGAACATGTGAAGCCAGCCGGTATAAGTGCACCGGGCATGGTGGCGTTGCCAGTTCCATAAAGGATCCTCAGGACCTCCCTCGTGGTGCGAGCAACCGCGAGGGAATTGACATCCCCCGGCACGACGTTGACTGTCGTTCGATTCTCGGCTCCGAGTTGCAGTGGGACGATCATACCTTCGTCTTTTGCACCGCACCTCCCGCGAACGTTAACCCCTTCGGCGGTAATGTTGGTGAGATTCCCCACCGTTCATGTAGTAGGCGGTACCGTTGCATTGACGCTTTGGAAGAGTAGGGCGTCGATGGCTTCGTCTTCCGCCGCGTTGGTGCGTTTGATTCCATCCAGCAGCTAAATGAAGAAGACGAAGTTGGTTATTCGAGAATCGGATCGGAAAGAGAAGTACTTACCTGTCGCTTGTTGGTGCCGACAATCAGAGGAGTCATTGTACCCTCGTATTGAGTAATCACAGACAGAATAAATCGGACGGCGAGCAGAAATATGCGAGCCTGTTGCTGTAGATATTTAATGGGGGAGTCAAGTTAGAGACATTCAAAGCCATGGCAAAAGCTGCTGGGGTCACAGTAATCAGTGGCCTTTGTAGCGGAGCATTTAGAAGTGTCCTGTTAACGATAGCCCTGCAAAAAAAAAAAAAAATCAAACTTTTTTCTGACCTGTAATTTAATTACATTTTATGGAACAAAGTCGGATCAAAACAACAGTTAAATAATTGCATTCTATTATATAAACCTGATACGTCGGACGTTACTCAAATCAAACTGCTCGATAATCCTTCTTGTGAGGATATTGACCGTGGCGTTGGTGGCTCCGATGGGGTCAGGGCCTTGGACCAGCCCCGGTGATATATTTTTGATCTGAAGACCGATTGAGCGCAGGAAGAATTCAGTTTTGACTTTGAGCAACTGAACAAAGAACTCAATGCGGGCAAGGTTGGAAGCCACCAATGGCCGGCACTGAGGTGGAGGAAGCGGAACAGTGTTGGCCCTAACAATGGGGGATTGAAATGCGAAAAGGAGTAGAAAAGCACACAGGCATGACCGAGTAGCCATTTTTGTTTGAATCAATCACTTACGGGATTTAGGATGGGTTTTAATTTGATGCACCATGACAGAGTCTCCTTTTATAGACGCAAAATCTTGGGCATCAGGCCCTTCCTGCATTGCATGCTACGTAATATCGCAAGTTGGGCCAACATTAGTTGCTTAACGAATCCCATGTATACTACATCTTTAATCTTTAGTAGGGATATGCATTAGGCACCATACCTAAATTCCTACTCGATCTGATCTGATTGGGTCATATTTTTAAAAAAAATTAGATTTGGGTCGAGTCAAGTCAAGTTTATTAGAATATAAATTCGGCCTAGGTCGGATTCAGCTTTAGGATGAAAAATCCGATTCGACCTGAAAATAATATAATTATACTTTTTATATTTAGGGATAATTACAATAATATCCCTATTTATTTTATTTTTCCAATTAAATTCATGTTTTATTTAATAAAATTAATAATTTTATATTATTTCGGGTTGAGTCGGGATCAGAGTAAAAAATGTGACTCATATCTATCACTAATCTTTAATGACTATCTATCTCTTTTTCTTAATATATATAAATAAGATTATCATTTAATATAATATTAGTAGAAAAAATAATTTTATAAATAGTAGTTGGATCATGTCAAATATCTTTTTAAGTAATTTTAAACTAAATAAGATGTATTGAGTTTAAGCGACGCATATGCAGGGGTATAAACGTTCATTGTTAAATGGTTGAAAGTCTTTGAACAAATGTTACTTTGTATTCACCTCAGATTTATCAAAAGAAAGAAAGAAAAGAAGACACTTAACATCATATGGACTAAGGATAGACCGAGGGAGAGTGGCTCTCGCAATCGTCCCCTAAAATTTTCAAATTTCTATATCTTTTAGATTTTTTTATTGATTATATATTTTTACTCCTTAAAATTTTAGAAATTCATCTCCCTAACATTAAAAATTGCATCTGTCTCTGATTTGAACACTATCTATGAAATTATTTTTATTTCAGTTGCAGTGTATCATATAAAAATCCTTATAAATATACGTTAATATTCATTTCCCAAGGTTTTATTAATCAAATAAAGTTTATCATACATTTTTATTCATAATGTTATTTTTGTACATGTTTAAGTAAGATTTGTAATGTTATTGATATTATTTTTCACATGTAGAAGTAAGATTAGTAAGATTTATAATGTTGTTTAATATATAAAAATCATATAAAATTATTGGTAAAGTACACGAATGGTCTCCTGACTATAAGATACTACTTTATTAAGTCCCTCTACTATAAAAAATTACAAAATAATCCTTTGACTATAAAAAGTTACAAAATAGTCAATTTACTATAAAATGTTACAAAATAGTCAATTTACTATAAAATGTTACAAGTCACTTGATAATCTATCTAAAATAATTTTATATTATTATTTGAAATAAATTTTTATATTTTTATTTGAAATTGTTTTGATAAAAAGTTGATTTGTCAACTCCATTATTAAACTTGAAGAGAATTAGGTCCATGAAGTTCGATGTAACCAAATCATAAGCTAAAGGCATACTATAATGGAAAACAAAATTTACGGATAGATCAAAAAATTGGGTAGATTCATTCTCTTAAAAAATTTAAATTATCATATATTTTATTTTTTTTATTTTTATTAATAATTTATTTTTATCCTCTTCTATAATTTTAAAATTTCATCTCATATAACAAAAAATTTTATGTTTATTCCTACCCGTAAATATAAATTTCTTAATCTTTTGGTACTTTTTTTGGTGTCGCACTTGAAATGAGCATTTAAATTTATACTTGTTAAGTCTTCGGGATTTTAGGCTATAGCACAATATGTATAAATTTAAGTTTAAATTATTATAATTTTTGTTTTAATATTTAGAAGAACGTAAATTGAAATATGTTTATAGATAAAATACACATTTGGTATCTAAATTATTTGGTTTGGCCGTTTTAGTACATGAACTTTCAATTTTTTTAAAATCATAACTAATGTTTAGTTTTTATTTCATTTTAGTATCCCACTGTTAAAAACTCAACGCTTTTAGTACCTATTATATCAGTTTTGGTCCATTTTAATACCTAAACTTTCGATTTTTTCAAAACTTCACGTTAAATTTTGAACACAGGTACTAAAATGAAATAAAATTTAAATTTTAGGTACAATTTTTTTAAAAATTAAAAGTTTAAACACTAAAACATGTCAAAATTGATATTTTATGCATAATTTACCCAAAAATATATTATCTTTCGATCGAAGAGTTTTAAAAGAAATTTAAACACATTAGACGTGATATAAAAAGTCATATGATCAAGTCTAATATGAGTTGTTCAAATTTTAAGTCTAATTATATGTAAACTTTGTCCAAATTTATATATTTTAATTATGACTAAAGGGTCACATTTGCTCCTGTAGTAGATAAAATTAAGGGTCACCTATCGTATTTCCGCATCAATTTAGCCCTTAAAGTAGTTTAATTACATCATTCTATATTATTCTCCTAACTTAAAACCCTAAATTATAAACCCTAAATTAGTGTTTAGAGTAGGCATGTAAATGAACTGAACGTTCAGTGAATTATTCATGAACCGTGCAGCGGGAAGTTAGTTTATGTTAGTTTATTTATTAAATGAACGAACATGAACAAGATTTTGCGTTTGTTTAATTAAATGAACGAACACGAACAAAGGGCTCGTTCGTGAACGTTCGATTATATGTTCGTTTATGTTCGTTCATTTATGTTAGCTCATTTATGTTCGAATAGAGGGCAAGTTGAATATGTTACGAAGATTATTGAAGTTTGTTGACAGTCATTTTCGTCCGAGTCTTTATTTATTTATTTATTTATATATTATTATTATAACATTATCATATTATTAGTTTTATTTCTATTAAATTATAATAATTTTATTATAGGCCCACATGAAAAATAACTACAACTCGAAGGCCAATTACAAGCAAAACCCCTAAGCCCAGTTACAACCAAGTCCCAATAGATATGGACCCGAAAAGCCCAGAACCGTCAAGGCCCAACAATCTTGGCAGACCCAAAGAGTAAACCTCAAACGCTGCTAGGGTTTTCACACAAGGTTCTAGTGCCGTACGGATCCTAGCCATCCGATATAAGAAGTAAATCGATGGCCAGAAGTGAACCAGCCAAACCCTAGGGTACTCATTGTAACCCTAGGGCTATTCCGGTGCCGCTGTAGAGATAATGATGCCTCCGCCGATGAACTCTCCAACCAGTGCATGCCACAACGGTGCCATATCATCGCCGGATTCGCAAGATTTGGGTGCATTTAATGCACCCAGTCTCTTCACCGTACATCTCACTGGCCCTAGGATGAGTCACCACCGTAGCTCCGGTGACTCACTAGGGTTCGTTTGTTTAACAAGACAAAAGGGTGCACCAAAGAACCCTATAAATAGGGCAAACCTACAAGAGAACCAAACAACGAGAGTAAGAGAACAACACAGAGCAAACATCCATTCATTCACCAAACATCGAGCAAGCAAGAAGGCAACCATCCAAACTAGCAAATGAAAATAGAGAAGAAGAAACTTACCCAGTCACCAGAGCTTCCACGCAAGTGCTGAGATTCGAAACGCCGAAGGTAAAAATTTAGATCTAGGTTGATGTGAAGGATTTTATGAAAAAGTAAACCTAGATTCGAGTAGAGGGGGTCGTGATCTGTATTTTAGGTAGTTTGGTGTTTTTCGGCCACCGTTTTGTTAAGAGACCTGCGTGTAATTTGGGGTATGGGAAATTGAGTCTGATGTCCTTGTAATTTTGTAACCTTGCAATTTAGTCATCAAAAGCATGTTTCATATATTTTAATTTTGTCTTTTAATTTTATTTATTTATGAGGGCAAGCAGGAAGGCAACCATCCAAACCAGCAAATGAAAATAGAGAAGAAGAAACTTACTCAGTCACCAGAGCTTCCACGCAAGTGTTGAGATTCGAAACGCCGAAGGTAAAAATTTAGATCTAGGTTATTCGAAGGTTTTTATGAAAAAGTAAACCTAGATTCGAGTAGAGGGGGTCATGATCTGTATTTTAGGTAGTTTGGTGTTTTTCGACCACCGTTTTGGGAAGGGACCTGCGTGTAATTTGGGGTATAAGGAAATTGAGTATGATGTCCCTATAATTTTGTAACCTTGCAATTTAGTCATCAAAAGCATGTTTCATATATTTTTATTTTGTCTTTTAATTTTATTTATTTATGTTTCGATCACTACTGCATATATATATTTTAGGATAAATATCAGGTATAGTCCTTAATATTTTAATAATTTACATTTCGACCTTTCTAATAATTTAGGGTAAATTAATTTGGTAGTATATAACTTTAATAATAATTTAGATCATGTTACTTAATTTTAATATTTTCCATTTTATATTTTAATAATGCTAGTTATAATATTAGTATGTTTTATAACTTTATAATATATTTTTAATATTAAAATAGGATTAATAATATTTATGTTAAATATTTAGTAATTATTTATATTAAGATTAAAGAGTAAATTTGTAATTTATTGCAAAGACATTTAATTAATAAATACCGATACCAATTTTGGGCGTTGTGGGAATGTTATTTCTTTCCCATACGTAACTGATTCTCGAACTCATTTTTCTGGTAAGCAAACCCGAGTTGTATTATGTTAATATTATTCTTAGAAATTTTTATTAAAATAATACGACATTTTGGTGACCAATCTCACCGAATTAAAAGATTGGTGGTGACTCTACAATTTGGTGTTTTATCTGATTCACGGAGGATAAACACTTACTTTTTCAAGACTAGTTACACCGTTTGGGGTGTACTATTTGCACTCTCCGTCGCCAGGGCAGAGAAATGTCTCGCAGCTTGGCGACTCTGTTGGGGATATTTTTAAAAAAATGAGAGTCCAACCACCAATTTATACCAATTTATTAATTATTTGTCTTTGCAATAAATTATAAATTTGTAATAATTTTGTTATAATTATTTTTATTAGTTTACTAATTTTTGTTTT